TACAACTTCAGAAATTAAGCTGCATTTAAATGATAAATCTTTACAGCAATTAAAACATTAATTGAACTATACAAACAATAACGAAATTGCAATAAAGGCATGGACAACCTTTGTAACAAATTCAACATTTGAAAAACTTCAATTAAAGTTCTTTTAAACACACCAAAGACTGCTCAATAAGATTTAGAATCAATTGTATCACGATACTTTTCAATGATACTGACCATATTATCAAGGCCAAATAAATAATTTTCATCTACAACACCATTTGCAGAAAATACATGTGAGAAATCGATTAGTTTTACCAGTACATTTGAGTCTCGTTCAAGTGAGGATTCATATATAAGCAAAATTGATGAAGCATAGAAATGAAAAACCTGAAATTATTATTATGGCTTTACATTCGATTTTTATACCAAACATCAGGTAATGTGTTACATGTCAATTGAATATTTAATATATTTATAATCAGTAACTATTCAGTTACAATATTTGAAATTTGAACGATTCAAAGTTATGGCATAGTACTCAATACACTAACTCATAATTTTCTTTTTTCTTTCACTTAAATTAGCTCAAAAAATTGTAAGCAGCATGTAAATGTGAAACATTACTCGCTGTGATCGGAACCACTTCTGAAGATCGTATAGCTGCCTCAGTGTCTCCTCTGCTACAATCATTTTCTCCTCCACTCTTGCAGATAAAAATTCAGCGAATGCTGCACATTTTTTTCATTTTGTTTATAAATATACTTCATAATAAATGTATGAGTTGATAACTCTTGACAGTGTAGATGTTTATCTAGCAGATTTATCATTTATTCCTGCCTTTGTAATTTTGCTATTCAAACAGTTTTTTCAAGTTATTAATAGAATATAATGACGACTGCATATAATGTTCATGCTATTTAGCAGTTACTGAATTCTAAATATGAGTTATTAATTTTTATCTCTGACCAAAGTTTTGTCCCTAGTAAATTTAAAAAAGTATTTTTAGTGATACGAAATCGCATTTTGCCTTATCTCAGATCTGTTCATTCAAGCAAATAAAAATTCAAAATATCCTTTTGCGCAAGACTTATGACGCAATTTGCAATAAAAGAAAAAAATATAAGTTTTTTCTCTTTAAAAACTTTTTTGCATAAAAGTTTTTCTCTTTTTGCTATACCCAGCAAAAGTTCTCGATGAAATATATGATTTTAATAATATGATAATTAATTCTCATCCTTTCCTTCATTAATTTCACTCAAGTGTACTACAATTAATAATTAAATCGTCTCACTAATTTATCTCTCTTGATGAGGTAGACAGCAATCAAAAAAGTTCAACAAGGTTCGAAATTCCCAAACACCTGGCAATTGTACCACCTGGGTTACGATTTTGTTACAAATGCATTTTTCACTTGTAACTGCAAATGCTTTCTTCTTTTACTCAAAAACCTTCTCTGCCTTAACTTTAATATATTATAGTTATTAAATTTCTGAAAAGCAAGTGTGAAGCAAGTGATATTTATCGTGGCATAGCAAAAAATTTAAAAGAGAAAGAATAAAACCTTCGACGATATTTTCCAAAGTTCGCGATTTTCCCCACTTTTTATCCCGAATTCGCAAATTATTGATGTTGTCATCAATGCGCATCTTAACAAGAATATTAATCATATGAAATGACCATAATTTGATATTTATTTTTTTTTAAATTTCAATCCAAATATTCGCATTTCCTCGAGTTGTTCTAATAAATTTTAGAGAATGCTGAATTTTGATGCCAGCTAGTTTCCTCATTTTTTCCTTTTTCTGAATGCTGTGAAATATTTTTTCAAAAAAAAAAAAAGATTTTTATACGAATATGATCTAAGCTTTAATCAAAACTTAAGTGATGGATTGTAATTTGCTCAGTTTTCTTTGAAAATAAAGCAGCTGTAACTGCTCAAAGGTTAAGTCAAAATTTGCACCAAGCCTTCTTAGAGATTAGCGCATAATTAAAAGTCACACAAAAAGGTTAAAAAAACGCTTCACATATCAAACACATAATTACTCTTTTCATCCACAGCCATCAATTAATTGCTTTTTTCAGTATTAATTCACTCATTCACCTAACTTTTATTTCGATCGTTAGACTATTTATTCAAAATTTCAAACATTAAAAATTTTGATTTGAAATGCAAAAAATATTTCAAATATTTGCACTTTCTAAATGCTAAAATTTTCACTCAACCCCTATGAACAATGAAGTGGTGATTGGAATTAAATAAAGCATAAAATGTGTTATACCCGATAACCGGTCAAACGAAAGCCAAGCGACTCTTGTTCTGGATACTTTATTATTTCCGATAATCTTTTGGCTTTTGTTGCACATGGATCATAAGTTACTTTACCTACTTTGATGTCCATAATACATGGGTATTTATAACAATACGTTAAATCCTCCAAAATGATGCATTCCACTTCTTAAAATTTAGCTTTGATTAGCAAGCAGTACCGTATACGTCTCATGACGTACATAAACAACTTTTTTTTCATATCATATTGTGAGGTCAGTGACATTTAATACATTTACTTGTTTTAACCTTCCCTTACACTGTTTATCACGTCATCAGTCTCATATTACACGTTCTTAATTATTTTTTGCTTGCAGCCGTGCTACTTAATTCCTTCTGTTTTTCTTCAGAAAATTTTTTCGAATCTTATTAATATTTTTGTCTAATTTTTTCATCAAAACATTTGAAATTGAAGAAACAATGCAATAAATTTGACATTTAAAACGAAATATCTAAACAAATTTCCATTTTTTAGAAGAATGACTATGATTTTATCCACCACACATAAGACACACACACTTCTGATTTTTTTTCTTTTTCAAGTAATAAAGCTGAATCATAGTTAATTACTTTTCTTTCCAATTTGAATGCTTTTTAGCCCATAAAATTTGGGAATAAAAGATTTCAATTTCAATATAGTAACGTTTTCATGGTTTTGTTGTTTCAGCTTGTTATAAAATGCTACCTGAAATAACGAATTTCAACGTGATGCAAGTTAGTCTTTATTTTTACTTTTTTATCAACCTAGCAAGTATATATTTAACTTTTATTCTCAAAAATAAACTTCTGCATATGTTTGTTTATTCACCTGTTGCTATGAAGAGTAAATGAAAGTTGCGTTACACATGAAATCTGGACGTCTTTAGTGAAATAATTGCAAGAAGAATATCAAATAACTTTGTAAATAAAAGATTTGATGACCAATTTTGACAATAAAATATTCACAATACAGTAATTATGTTTTTTAAAATATGCAATTTAATTTTGCTCTCAAAAAATAATAAACAAACTTCGCACACTCCTCTTACACCCTCTTGAATTGGCTTCAATAGTGTTTCACTACCAACCTGTTTTATAAGTCCTAAAAAAATGAATTAATTTCTTAAATTTTGGTTATCAACTTAATTGTCTTTCCAAATGTCTTTTACATTTCCCTATGTAAATAGAAAAATATCGTTGAAATTTTTTCATGTATTATAAAATATAAAAAACTTTGCTGCTAAAACAACAGCAAAAAAAAAAAAAAAAAAAAAAAACAACGAACCAATTTGGTGCTTTCCATTTTTAACGATAGATAAATGATGTCCGGCAATTTGTTCTTGATACCATTCGTACGATAATGGCAAAGCCGTTACACTGCAGCCCTCATCAACCATATGTAAGTAGAAGTAAAATCAACGAAAAAAAGTGAGAAGAAATACCACATTCACAACATGACTAACTTTGCACCTAAATACTTCAGTATTTCATTAAAAATAGAAAACATCTCACAAACACACTTTAAAAGGCAAAACATTAAAGTTGCCCTCCATAAATTACCAATCAAGTACGCACACAAAAGATCTAGTTTCAGTATGACACAACAAATCAAGTCTCAACATTAAAATTTGTTGATGATGTTAAAAAAATTACATAATATGGTTAGTTATCTAATACCATAATATTTCAAGAATTTTTGTTTAAATCTCAGTACTAACAAAAATCACTGTGATTTTAGACTTCATATTTCACTTTATAGAATAGAGGCATATGTTTGTACCTTGCGATTTCTTGATTATAATTTCCTCATATGGATATGAAAAGATAGAAATGTTCGAAAATATTTGTCAAAAAGTGGTGGTAAGTTAAAAACAAATGGAATCAGTCAGTCCAAATTGCTTTCAATTAATTTATCAATTTTAAATTTGTTGCTGTTGAATGTTACTTACCAATAAATATGCCATTATAAACTTCGATTTGAAAAAATTTGAATCAGATAATTCAAGTTTATAAACTACACAACCTCCAATCTTGCCAAATAAAATAAGCTGTTGTTGACGTAAATGCTTTCTACTTATTCATGACATCACACGGGCCAAAGCAAAACTATATGCGGTGAAAAAATTAATAATCTCAAAACTCGTTTCAATCGATGCATCTAAATATTAAATCATAACACATAAATCATATTTTATTGTGCTAAAGAATCATATAAAAAAAACAAGATGAAAGCTTTTCTTGAAAGTGCAAAAAATTTTAGCAACTTTAAATGAAGTATATAAATGTGAGAAGAAATGTTTCCTCCTTTTTTCCCTTACATTGCCATTGCATATAGCGATTGAAAGCAATTTATATATCGAAAAGCTTTATTCAGTCAATGCAGTGCATTACATTACAACTTCAGAAAAGTTGATTAGTAAACTCAGTGCAACAGTTATATTATATCTCTTCTTATTTTTATTTTCATTTTAAATAAAGCAGTTGGAATTGCAGCATTTTATTTAAAACACTCTGTTTTAAAATCATTCAACATCTATCCATTCAAAAATCAGCACATACTTGCTCTTGTTCTGCTCTTTCTGTGCCTTCATTATCTCTCTGCAAATAGCACTAAGAATAATATTACAACGATTAATAACATATAATGAACAGATCAACAATTTTCTGCAGCTTTTATGTAATTTAGTTTACATAACACCACTCAGCAGTTGACTAAATTAAAGCAATCAAGACAAACAAAAAATTAATTATGAAAATTGAATTTCTTAGATAAAATTAATCTTTAGCCATGCATTCAACTTCTATAGTTTAAATTTCGTGCCTTGATTGCATTACACATTTATGAACAATCTTTGGAGGAAAAAAAAATGAAGCAAGTTTATTCATAATTCTACCTTTTATAATTTCATATTTTATGAGAAGAATTTAGCATATTCAGGATAAAAAATGAAATCATACAAAGATGAATCCTAAAAATCAAAGGTTTTAACCATTCTGGCATTGCAAATCAAGCAAAAGTGGATATTCAGAAGATGAAAACATTTTGAGAAATGTTTGCGAATGAGAGAAAATGCTCCAATAACATTTTATTCTCCGAGAATACACTAACTAAACGTTAAAGATAAATTTTCATATTAGAGAAATTTTTTTTCATTTATTTTCTCTAAATTTTAGAGTCATTTCGAGCATTGCTAAAAGTGTAAACAGAGTTTTAAAAAAAAACATATTTTTAGTAGAAAAATAATAAAATAATGATACAGTTCAAACATTAGTAATGCTAATTGTTGCAGGTAAAGTTTTTTCAGTTTGTGTTACATCTTCAAACTGCGTACTCTCATTACTCCATATATTTACATAAGTATGATTAAGTTGCTTAATAGTAGGTTCATTGTGAGACATATCTTCAAGCTGGCTACTGCAACATTCATTTGAAACTTCAGTAACTGCAGGAGAAAGTGAAAATGCTGAATCGAAATCACGATGAGCAGAAGTTGATAACTGATCACGTTCATTCACCTTTTTTTTTGATTTCCGATCCCGACTCATCACATCTTTCATGTTTCCATTATTTTTTTTAGACGATGAATATTTCGGTTTTTCAGCTGCCCTGCAATTTTGACACAGTGTACAGCTGTATGTATTACGCTGAATGAATTTGCCCGGTACTTTCGTTTTCCGACACTTCCCATCTAACTCGTTATCACAAAATTTGAAGATCCTGCAAAATATGACACCATGACGTCAACATTACCTATAACTTTTTTGCTCGAGTCGATAAAAATTATACTTCTCAGTAAAAATTATTAATGACTAATACACTGATTAATGCAATAACAACTGTATCAGTTCTTTTTAAACCAAATTGCATTTAATATTTGCAAAACACATATGACAGAAATGACAGGTTTTTGTATACGAGAAAGATCTTCTTTAATTTATGCTTAAAAACAAGACGAAAAATTTTTTGCAAAAATAAAGGCAGAAAAGTTGTTAAATAGAAAAAAGAGCTCATTCACTGGTTTTTCTCAATCACAACAAACTGTATGAGAAGTTTTTTGCTGAGATCTAGAAAGAATTTTGATCTAATCTGTGATGATCCCTTTGAAAAATCAAACAAATGTTGACTTGAAATGAAAAAAAAGACAGTACAAATAAATTATGTACCGTAAATGAATGCATTCCTTAACAAACATGTATAATAACTACAGTGGACATTTTCATTTACTAAAATTTTACTGCATAAATGAGAAAAAAAAAAGACGAATATGATAAAACAACAAATGACAATAATCACTGATAAAAAAGCTATTTGTAGTTGATAAAAACTCTGCAGCATAATTTTGGTACACCATAACGAGAGTACAGACTTTGCTTATTCAATTGAAGTCTCAAAAGTAATCCTTAAAGGGAAAATTCGGCAAGAAATACTTTTTTTTCATAATAAAATATCGACTCCTAAATCGATTTCTCAAATGACACAGCCAATTTTCTAGAACCAGTACATTTGCTTACTGAAATCTAATAATCGATTTCACAAAAAAATAAACTGCTGAAAGATACAAACGTAAGCATACTGACCAATTGCCTGAATTCTACATGCAAACACACTCATTTATCTTATTGACTTGCATACCGACTCACTCATTCACACACTCACGTACACCTCTTTTTTCATGCACTTACTTATACACGTGAACTCATAGTCATTTTATTCTGTTTGTTCCACTTCAGAAAATGTAAGATAATGTGGTGCAATACAGAAGAAATCATCATGATTGGTTGGTTACAAGGAGTAAAATTTACTGTGTAAATTTATTTGGCTGAGACTGAGCTGCACATCATTTAAGGTGTAAAATATTACGCATTTTGATGAAGATAATCTTTCGACAAACAAGCATTTTAATCTCTACAAGGTATCAAAATTATGCAGAAGAGTTTTTATCAACTACAAATAGCTATTGTGATTAGCAAATACTAAGCATTTAATAAGTGCAGTTCACTGCAATAACTGGCAACTAGTAAGCAAGTAATACCTAGTCATTTCCTCTCTTAACCATCCCATTCGCTCTAAAAGTCGCAATCAGAGCAAACAGGCAGTTACAAAAGAATAAATTTATTTTGTTATATAGGTTATACCTCTTCTGAAATATTTTAGTTTCGCGGTTAAAGTTGCATTGTTTGCAAGACTTGTGATCTTTTGTGAGACCATCACACAAAAGTTGTCAAAAACTGATAATGAAGTTTGCCTTAAACTGAAAAAATACCCCCACCTTTAATATTAAATCAAGTTAAAAATTAGTCCAGAAATTAATCATTATTTCAAAGAAAGTCTCACTTTTTTGTTTTTGAAGGCATCACCACATCATTGTTACATTCAGCACTAATTGTAGGTCGTTCTGGATGTCCACGTAAACGAGTACGATTCCTACAGTGTTCGATAGGTTGTGATACTTTTTGTGCGCAATCTTTTTTCATGAATAATCGGGCCAGAAGATCTTCAAAATAGCAGTAGATATGCGAAAAACGTTTTGGAAATCAAAGATCTAGATAATAGTAATGACAAAAATAATAATAAAATTAGGAACATGTAAATTACTGACTTTTCTTAGTTTTGAAGTGGTTTGATGGAGTATAACCATTAGCAACACTCTGTCCCGTTTGACATTCTACTGTACATTTGGTAATAGTAATTTTTTTGGAACGATAAGGAGGTGTAGAAGGAAAGCAAATGCGCAATTGTTTCAGATCATATTTTAAAGTCTTCTGCTTCAATAAGGTTTGAATAGCTTGTCGAAGGGTTCTCATTGAAGGTGTCTTTATTTCGGGATATTCTTTACCAATTTCATTCTGTAATGTTTGCAATACTGCCGGCCTACCACTCTGATTCATTTTAGCAACCACATCGCAAACAATATCCAGCAATGGTACCAAATGTATCTGATCAATCTTATGTATTCCAATACTTTCTACATCTCCTAAAACCATAGTACTTTGGTATGCATCCTACATTCCACTTCAATGTATTTATCAATTAGATTTTATAAACATGCAAGGGAAATTTGTGGTCACTTCATTTTATGTAGCTTATCAATAATATTGTTTTTTATAAATAAAGACATCAAAAAACTAATGACTAGTATTAAAATGAAAAGTAAGATGATGAGTAAAGTATATATGAAAATGACTACTTTGTAAAAAGTGAGTTTGAATTTTTATTAGCAGTACTTTTTACAGATAGAAATTATTGTATTATTATCAGTTTTCGCACATCTGTTTGCATTAGCAAAATTTGCGCAAAACTGTCATTTCTATTTATCTCAAATTTCATGTGAACAGGTGTCTTCAGCTTCACTCTCATGAAGAATTCCTAGCGGATGTATTTCTCGACAGATGCTTCTTACTTTCCTTTCTTCTCTCCAATACTTTTACTCTTTTCTCACGGTACTAATTACAACAGTCATCGTATGCATCATTATTTAGACGTTAACTCAATCTTACAGTGCTATTCTATTCGTTTATTGCTTTTTCATGGTATTCTTTTTATCATTTTAAGTGTCATTTTCTTGTATGCTTTACTGTTAATAATTTAGACATATACTGTATTACGTGTGTAAATAAAATCATAATTTCAATCGAAATAATTTTTTTTTTCAAATTTTAGAAAATAAAAACAATGAGTAAATATAACTTATAACATTTAAATACAGTACTCTGTTTAAATTTCTTTTCACGTAATAAAAGGATTAAAAGAACTTACCAAAAGTTTTAATTCGATATCCTTTTGCAGATCTTAAAATTTGCTGAACCCATGCGTCACGCAATGTTTGCATGTGGTTTTCATTCAATGAAGTAATAAACAGTGTAGAAGGTTTGATGTAGCCAACGTATTTCATCGAATTTATTGCCTCTCCTAGTTTCATATTCCAAAAACATGCTTTATTTTCCTGTAATGGTCATTCTATGTTGAGAAGCAAATAAAAAATCTAGTATTTATATGATGACTGCATAAGTGATTACGACCTTAAGAATAACTGATGAATATCAGGAAAATATTTCATTTTAGTTGTATTATTTCATCAAGATTCAATTTTTAAATTTTTAAAATTGTTCATTTTATTGCATAACATATTTCATTAGGAAAAAGAGAAAACGTTATGAGTAACCTTAATGAAACTTTGGAAGAGCTTATGTCCAGTCACTTTATTATTAGTGACTTTTTCAAAGATGATCCCAAAACATGGAGTGGACATTGCTCCTGCAATAAAACAACTTTTAATTTTCTTTGATCTCGTGAAGCTCATCAAAGTGATCGTTCAACTCAGATTACGACAATCATAATTGAATGTTCATTCACATATATTTTATTATCATTTTACGGAATCTAACATGTAACCACACCTGCACATAAAGATAGCTTTAAAATGCTCATTTATCCGTTGATAAGATCAGCTAATCTATGGATAAATCTAAATTTATTTTGTAGTAAAATATTTTTGGAATTTTTTTTTGAAGTCATAAATTGAAATTTAGAACTTCAGTTAAAGAAAAAATTTGTCACAAACTCTATCATTAGTCGAAAGAGTAAGAATGTTTCATATGCTAAAACTTATAAATGCTATCAAATATACGTATGAAGGTAAAAAGCTTTAAATAACTAGTAGTGACTGGTAAGGAAAGTAATCACTGTATTCAGGTGATTGAGGAAGACAATCATTTGAAAATTAGTTGACCTTGTAAGAATTTTTTTTTAATTACGAAGCATTCCGATCACTTAAACTCATTAATCAAGTTTGGCACTAATCGAGGGTGATTGTTGAGAGCAATGTATGAAGCACGCTACTAAAGGTCACGAAGAATTTAAATTTAATAGCAATGGAAAAAAGTTTTTTCTCTATTCATTGAACTTTTTGAAATATCAGCAATAATCACTTGTTTCGAATTAATCAGTAAAAGCTATGCAGTGAAGATATAAATATGTTTCGCATGTACAGTACAATATGATTTATACATGAGGTAAATTTTTAATTAGCAGTTTGTCATATTAGTCACCTTAAACTGCAAATACAAAGAAATTAATAATGTAATGCGAAAGACAAAAATAATTAATAATTGAAAAATGTGCCACGCACTTTAAAATTTTTAAAAAAATTCAAAAATAAGTCCGATAAGCTATTAGAAAAACATAATTTATGTGACTTACTAGTCAATTCCATATTTGAAAAGCTTTAAGTGAACCTTCGATAATATAAAAAATGAAATTTTAGAGGAAGAAAATTTATCTGACAAATTCTTGAAGAAAAATGAAAACATTCAATTATAATTTATAACAATAACGACTACTTAAGAATATACTTGAAAAAATATTTAGATGTAAATGTAAAAATTTTTGATAACTAAGACGTCAGAATTACATTGCATTATATATTAAACATAAATTCATTGTACTTTATGATTGTTATGTCTTCGCAGTCAAAGTTTAATCCAATTTAAATGAGACTATGTAATATTTCGAGAAAACAATTAATTACTTTCAAAAACTTATAATATAGAGAAAACGAGGTGTTTTCATGAAAATTTTGCAGTCATGAAATTATCAAAAATAATACCACATGACGGTAATGAAGAATTCAACAACTTGTAGAGAATTGTGATGAGTAAAGTTTGTGAGCCAAGTAATTTTTTTGTGTTGTAATTGCTAAAAATTGCTTTCATTTAATTGATAGGAATTAATAAAAATTAGCTATAATTGATAGAGTACTGATTATAATCTATGACAACAGCTATGCCAATGGTAGATTTCAGCAAAGACAAAAATGATGCTGAGAATTATATTGTTGATGAGGTAAATGGGATGGGACAATTAAGTAAGGTATTCCGCCTCCCTTGACGCATATTGTCCATTTCAGTTGACCTTTTCAAATGTTTCACAGCACGCCTCCAATCACATGAAAGCTTTACTATTCTTATGCCGCCTTTTATACTCAATATGTATTATTGCGATAAAATTAAATTTTCATTTAATTTCAAAAATTTTCTTCACAACACTTTCTAGTCTTAATTATCTATCCACCACACAATTATCATTTTATGGTATATTTAATTATTTATTACGTTTTTTAGCTTTTTTTTTTTCACTTGAACTCATAAATTTTTATAGACAAAAATGTAATCAAAAATTTAAAAGAGTAAAGAGGAAGAAAGGACACAGATGCAATTATTATTTCAGATAAACAGTGGGTGAGTAGAAAATAATTAGTTAAGAGGATATGTGATAGCTTCTTCGTGACATTACTTGACACAATTTCTTTTGAAAAATTAACAAAAATGCAACTATGATTTATTAATCGAAACTAATTTTTTTATTACCTTAAAAAGTATACAAAGTGAGCAATAACTTTCAGAACAACACGTGTCCTACTCAACAATGCAAGGAAAATTTACGATTGTAAACGTGTGTGTATCTGTGATAGAAGCAGTAACCACAACATCAGTCAATTGGCTACTAAATTATTAAGTTGAAAGAATAAATGAATGTTCTGTCAACTTAGTTGCATTGCAAGTGATAAACATTAAAGGAGTTTTGAATGCACTGAGGTAGTAACCACAGGCACTTCGTAAATTTATGGACGCACCGTAACAATTTAGCAGACGTCATTGCGGCGTGGTTTTGTATTGTATTCACCCTAACAACTTCATTGCCTTATTTACTTGATTGAAATGCATTTTTATGAAGTTGAAAGTATAAAGCTGCAAAGTTGCCGACAGTAAGAATAAGGAAAGGACAGATAGGAAAAGAAATAATACAGAAGATAATTGCTTTTCGGCTTTTTTTCCACAAGTCAAATTATGCAAGAACAAACTATTGACAGTTAACAGAGACAAAGCACTGCTTATGTGATATAGTCAAACAGTGAGGAATGTAAATGAAAAAGTGTGACATATAGATAAATTGCAGTAAACTTGTTTTATTAATCAGTTTACAATAGGGTCACTAGTAATGGCTGTTGTATAATTACAATATAGATACAATTGAATCATAAAATTGAATTTAAATATAAAAAAAAAAAACGTAATTACGAACTGAAAGCTAAGTAAAACTTAATTACTCTAAAGTAGTAGTGAATAAGTGGGTTAAAATAAATTACATTAATCATCAAATGTACCACGGGGTTAAAATAATAGGACTGTTACATTACTTATTCGCGCCGTCGAATTTGACGTATCAAACAAATCTAAACATGTTGTATGCATGCAAGCAACAGTTGTGCAACCATATGTCGCCAATTCCCTCACATATCTATCTATCATTTTCCACTTACCTTTAAATAATCATGCAAATTTTAACAATATTGTGTTCCCATTATTGCAAATAATTTATTTTTTCTTTTAAATTTAAAAGTGGTACAACAGTTCTTTTATTCTATTGAATCAAAATTGCTCTGATTAACTTGCAGTCAATAAAACCTTCCAAGAATTTTTGAAATTTTCCATTCTTAAATGATCTTTCAGTAAATTAATAGATTTACTGAAAGATCATTTAAAAGTTCTTCTTAGTCAGCACTGTGTGTTTATTATAGCTTGCTTATCATTTGCAAATGCCAGAGGAATGAATCAAACATCAATTTTTGCAAGTGTTAATTAACTTTGTATATTATAAGTATGATTTTCTGACAAATAAATCTACAGAATAACGTACTAATGCTCCTCTGCTTATATTTTTCTCTTTTTTGACCTGAAAGTTATCTTTTTATTTTTATAGTGGTAAGTAGTAAAACAAGTAAATTTTTGCAAGTAACTTTTTTTTTTCACCTGTAAGTGGTGGATAATACTTAGGTTGCATCTATATAATCACTACCTCATTCAATCATAATAAAAAAAATAAAATATATGTTTAACCAATAATTATTTAAGAAACGATGTTTGGAAAGGAAGTGAGAACTTTGAAAATATTCATTATATGATTTTAACGTTTGCTTAAGATGCAATCATTCATTCTTAACTGATAATTATCATCGTGACTTTTAACTCACTCATCAGCAATATATATGTATTGTGGATGTGTATTATTATTAAAAAATGTTGCGTGATCAGTGACCTTCATTGTGTACCAAACATTCCAAATTATTATAAAATAAGAGAGGATAAACAGAAAAACTTGTAGTAGAATTATAAAATAAATAAATGATAAAAAGTTAGAACCAAATGGCAAAAATTATTTTAATTATCTGAATAAAAGAATTTTACATCATTATTATTTTCAGACTATTTAACAATGTAGATATGAAGATACCAAAATTAAACTGAACGGTTTAAGAAATGATAAACTTTGAATGAATATTGTTAATTGAGACAATAACAAACAACATGATTAGGCTTAGTTATAAGGATAATACTGGTCAAAAATGAATAAATATAATTAGAATTGGCTAATCTATTTGAAACACTTTTGTAGATTTAATTTATTAGATGTGTTTTTCTTCATAGTTTGTTGCACAATGCTATCGACAGCTGCTGCAAAGTAAGCAAAAAAAAGCATGACTACAAAATTTATTCACCAATGCAAACAAGTAATGCAATTAAATCTGTGAAAAAACCATTTTTCCAATACAGTATATTTTTTCAGTGACTCATTTTTCAGTGATTTGAAAATTGCTCAGCTGAAACAAAAGTTGCAGACTTTTAATAATCGTAGTACAACTATCGTCTCTTATTTCCTATTTTTTTATCATAAGCAATTAGATATTTATCACCCGAAACCTTCTAAGATCAAATCATACGCAATATGTTAGTGACAAAAGTACCATTAACTGTTAATTGAGATTTGCTGAAAAATGCATAAGTTTAATTTGAGTTAAAGTTTTTGTGTTTTAATGTTAAAAACTGCAGGATTTCAGTTTTTTATCCGTTCTAACAGTAACAGCCTGGGACAAATATAAAATCCATATTTGGAGCGTTTGATGGAAGACAGAAGTCTTCTATATCTTTAAAAATGTTTATAGTTCTTTAGTGACCAGTAAAATGAGCTTTAGAACAGAACAGTCTAGGTTATTAATGAAAGAAAATACTTTAAATTTTGATAATAGTGTGATAAATATCACTACAGAAAAAACAAATGCATGTACTCATATGCTATTAAATGCTTTGACCTCAAAATTCAACCAAATCGATTAAACGTAATCGAATCAAATAATGCTTTCAAAATGCTAATCAAATAAATCAGTGAAGTAGAATAATTACAATTAGTCACCAAAATTTATAAAAATCTGTACTATTTATGATCTGTTTACTCAAATAAATATATTTTGAGTTAAATGTATTGCTTCAAATTGCACAGACTGTGAATGTTACAGATGGTAGCTGCGTTGTGCTTCATTAGATTAGATAGAAATTAAAATAATTTTGCCATGGTATTCAATACAATTATAATTTTAACTGAAGAGAAATTGTCAATAAACTTGCTAAATTTTCAGCCAATTAAAGGTTTCATTTATTATTCTTTAAACAATCTAAGTTTTCAAATATAAATTAAATTGCAGCAGACTGTCAAAAAACATGAAAAAATTAGAGTCGTCAACTACTTGTTGCATTCAGATGCTTGATTGAATTGCTTTGTTTGCACTTTTGATTCTTTTTCTCAGAATGTATGCATATAAAATATAGCAGTAAAGTATGGATTTCTTGAAATAACAAATTCTACCATAATATTGATTTCCGGTCAGCTGGCATCTACCAGAGCACTGCTTCCTCTT